TTATTGTTTTTATTTATTTTAGAATTAATGCAAAGATAAATGTAATATAAAAATGAATATATTTATATATATATGTATATATAAATATAAGTTGCTATGTGAACAAATATATATATATTGCTTTAGTTTTTAATGACAAATTATATATAAATAAAATTATTATTTACCTGATATATCGGGTCCACTGATTTCAGTAAATATTTTATGGTACGATGGCCTTCTTGTGAGTTCTCTGTGTCGTCGAGGTGAGTCTTCATCCGTTAGACTATCCTCACTATTTGAATCGAGGTGGTGTGTGTTCGGTTCTGGTTTAATCTTACATAGAAAATTTGGGGGGAGCTATTATATTTTTGGTATTTTTGTTTGTTTTAAGATATGAAAACATAAAATTAATTTTGAAGTAATATTAGTAACCAATAAAATTTAATTACAAGTAATTATATAGAGAAATATACAATAAAACTGAAAGATTTTTAAGTATTAATAATTTATTATACCATTTTAAAAGGTGTTTATTTTATTATGTTTCATTTGTTATTGCAACAGCAATAAGAAAAAATATGTTATAGATATGTATGTAAGCCTATGGTTTTTGTTTTTGTTGTGAAGTATGATTTCCACTTGGTTATTTGAAGAGATGAGTGGCTTGTAGTATCTTGTCAACCTTTTGTAGTATCAACAAGAACGGGTGACTATATAAAGATGTGGCGAGCCTGGAACTAAGTCTGATTTATTATTGGTAGATGCAGCAGGGCGTGAATACCAAAGTCACTTGTCCAAATATGCTTTCTGAGAATAACTATTGTCATGGAGTCACCATGACAAATATAAAAAACAACCCGATCCTTTATTGATAAATAAGCACTATAATTCCAACACATAACAATCCCTATTAGTTGTGAAAGTGCGCTAAGAGGGTGCACAATTGAATGTATCACAATAGCTTCTGAATAGCTTCTCAGAATAGCTTCTGAGTGATTAAATTAAGTTATAAATATATTGACTATATAATAGCATTATATTTGATATAATTTAGTGAAGTATTTTATTACATTTAATGCCTATCTTAAGGTACAGGATCATTTTCCAACTTTAAAATTGGGAAAAATTTCCCAGAAAAATATTATCTGTTTTTGAAATCATAGTGAGATAGTTGTTGATTTGTCAAAAGAGAGAAAGAAATGATATTATGTTGTATGTTATAAGATGCTGCTTCTTGCTCAGTTGTACATTTACAAATATAAGACAACCCAAAGCCAACGGTCAGAAAAAAGTTCACTATTATAAAAATTAATAACTTGTTTAACAGAACAAGTGAATATCTGCATAAAAAGAGTAAAAGATGTAGACTAAAGAAATCACACTACAAACGTAATAATTTTCTTCTAGTAAATCTTTAAACCAAATATATTCAAGCATATAATAACCGATGATGCCTCGCTTTGAAGTAAGTTATTCATTTCAGTGACTCATCAGTAAGTAGCAAAAGTAAATTGCTGATTTAGAAAACTAGTATGGATGTATGATATAGAATTGTAGGGCAACTTTTTACTGAGTTTAATATACAATTTATTAAAGAAACATTTGCAGAAATGCCAATCGATAATTGAAATAATTATAAAATTTAAATTGAGACGTAATCTATAAAAGTAAGTACCACTCTATTTACAGTAGCTTTAAAAACAAATATATTACTTAAGTTCTGTCTGTACAACTGATGATTATTGTTCATAATATTTTAAATTGGTAAACTGAGCTGTATTACAATATTAACATCGCAAAACGTATAAAGAAATTACGTTAGTCATTACATGAGAATAATAACCAAATATTCTGGTCAAAAAAGCTTTCATATTTTTCACAATTGTGTAAAAATCACTAAAAATGTGGATCTATTACTTTAAGTTGGGAGTTTTAAGTACCTGTGCCAGTTCCATATATCTGACTGGCATAAGAACAACTGAGAGATGTTTCGACACCCGGTTGTAACAGACAATTAAGTATATAAAAAAAAATATTTCTAGCTTTTCTATCTATAAATTTTTTTTCTATTATTAAAAATATTTTACTAAATTTTTTTTAAGATTTTATATAAAGTGATCATGTGTAAAATCGCCACTGTAAGAATGAAAACTACTTTTTAAGCATCCTACTACTATGTGTGTGAGAAGTTTTTATAAGATTATATCTTAAGTTATTTATATATTTTTTAGACAGCATATTTTACTAATAATATGAATATGCTATAGTATAATTTACTTAATAACTACAGACTGATTGTCAAAACTATAATATATATTGTGTATCATTTGTTCGATCATACAAGTCAAGTCGGGTTTCGGTCAGTTAGCTAATGGACGACTAACTGAGCTTTAAATTTGATAGGATACAAGTTTTATACTTGGTAGCTGCATTCTAACAAAATATTTACGAATAATTAAGTATAAGAATATTTCCAAAAAGTGTACAGATAATAGGTAGTTGGTAATACTCAAAAAAGATTTATGGTCAAAAAAAATTTAATTAATTAAAAATTTGAATTTTGTTGTTGTAATTTACTATTAAAAATAGTTTCTTCTAAGAAAATAGTGTCTTTCGTCATAATTGACTTAAAAAATATCTTCAAGATGCTAATATTTTTATTATTAAGTGTTATTTATGACCAGCTTGACCCCTCCATCACCTCCTACCACTACCCACCAACTTTTCTACCCATGTTATTGTCTCGTATATCCTTTCATGTTATCTGCTTACAGGTCCCAGCGGGTTACAACAACAACCAGTTTGTTAAATTCTTTACTTAATATTTTTCTATTCGACTACTGTGATCTTTAACACTTTTCAATTTTATTATTTACTCGACGTTGCTTTGGTTTTTGTTTTTTTAGTTTTACTCTATAGCAAATTTGTTTATAAAACATTATTACATCTTTTAACTAACAAACAAATCTTTCAGTTTTATTGCTAGAATTTCTAATATATTTCGAATGAGAAATAGGAATGAGGGAATTTACCTGGACAGCATTTCCTGATGTGGTGTGTATTACCGTCGTGTTCGGTTTGCTAACAAAAACTACGTTTTTGGACATGGCGTTTGTGGTGGCGGCGGTTTGTATTACAGAGGATTGATTTGCTGCTTGTATCACCGACTATTTTTTTTTTATTGTGTTGTGAAATAAAAATAAGAGTTAATAGCGATATATATAATATGAGTATTATATTTATTTTTCTATTCTTACCTGCAGACCATGTGGTGGCAGATATTGTACCACATTTGATGTTGTGGTTAAAACTGACGATGATGGCGGTGGTGGTACATTAATTGTGGTGGAATTTGTTGAATTGTTGCTCTGTTGTTGTGCTGTTGATAAATTGTGTCCTTCGTCTACGTTATTGGAATTACCATTCTCTTCGACGATGCTGTCCATTTTTTTGATTTTCAACAGCACCGTTACGTCTTCCGACAATTGCTTCAGTTTGACAAATTTTATTGGCCACTCAAGTTATGCAAGAAAATATATAAATAAAATAAAATCAACCAAAATTTCTTCCTCCTTTGCACTTCAATTTATTTTTTTAAATTTTCTTTGCTTTTTTTGTTGTTTGCTTATTTGCAACAACAAAAAGCTGTTAGCAACTTTTGGCTTAATTCCTTGTGCAGGCGGCCAAAGGGGCGTTTGTATTAATTTATCCAGTTTGATATATTAACTGTAAAAAAATAAATAAAATATATAAAATAATTATATACATATATATGTATACGTATATATATAATATAATTTATATTTATTTATTTAAAAATATAAAATTATTAAGAAGTATAATTAAAGCGGGAAATACTTTTTGTATTGACTTTGTTGTAGCCTCGCGCGCAACGTAATGCACATAAAATAGCTAAAATATTTAAAAAGCCAAACTAAATGATAAAACCACACCGAATATCACATAAAAGCGTTCATACTGGCGAATTGATAGTAGCGCTATAAATGAGTCATAGTCACCATCATCATTATAATCAGCGGCAAAGCTGACAACATCATTTTGAACGTAGCAGCGCCAGAGTCCGACCCACCAACAACAATAGCCACATTGCGATATCTGCTGAACAGAAACTGGCGAGTCGCGACTGCGACTACGACTGCGGCTACGATGTTACGATGTGAACGAACAGCCACGATAGCGACGACGACGAAACAACTTTTTGGATTAATAACGAAACTATCAAAATATTGCAATGCAAAATTACTTCGTCGTCATTATTAATACAGCGTGTTTATATATTTAAGTATACTTTGTTTCATATATACATATATATACATATACTATATAGAGCAAACATATATTTATGGTTATAATACCAGAACTGTAAGTACGGTTCATTTAGTGACAAAAGTATAAACTTATTTTCAACCTTAATCAAGTTTATAGTTAAATTATACTATAAAATAATTAAAATATCACAAAATACTATTTTAATTAATATTGTACTTGAATACAATTCATCTTTGAAAGCAACCCATACACATGAAACATCACTGGGTCCATAACAGTTCATACCGCGGACTACAATATAAAAGAAGCAATATGAAAAAATTGGAGTTCCATGCACATGAAGCATCACTGGGCCCATAACAAGTCATACCTGGGACTTCTATATAAAAGAAGCAATAGTTATTCAGTTATTCAATATAAATTTGTGGGAATTTCATATAAATAAAGTATCATTCTATCAAAATGAGTATCCTACGAGATCCGTAAATAAGTATGTTATACATATATGTATATATTTTATATAATTTTGAATTTATTTGTCGACCTGTTTTTTTAATAATTTTTTTTCCAGCTAGAGGTAGCTTTTTATTAGACAATTCAACGTTTGTTTAATATTTTTTAATATATTCTATATTTCGACTCTCCTTGCGAGTCATCATCAGAATCACGATCGATCTAACATAAATTAATATTAATAAAACTTTATCTATGTCATCTTCTTTATTCTGTTGTCTATATTGCACTATATATTATCTATATTGATGACTCTCAAGGATAATCAAAATATAGATATTAAAAAATATTAAATAAACGTTGAATGTTTTATATATATATATATAAACATATTTATATGAATCAAAATAGAATACGTATAGTTTCGTATATATCAATTTGATATCACATATTTATTCTCCGACTTTTAGACATGAAACGAAATGCCTAAGAGTTCCTATATAACCGTATAACCGTATATAAACCCTCGTTTTGGCATCATATTTATCCTTCGACTTTTAAACATTTAAAGAAACATCATTGTAATTGTGATATCTGATAAAGTACTTCTCATAAAACAGACAATTGATTTCATGACAATTGAAGTATTATATTTAATCTCTATCATGAAATATTAGAAACATTGATAAGTATTTTAAAATTCAATAAATAATTACGATATCTTTTATGACGGTTAACGATTAAAATAAAAAAACTAATTTTATTTTTTGACAACAATGAGTCAGAGAACCATTTATAGTATATTAACATAAATATACCATTGAGATTATAATAAAATACGAAATTCAATTTTTAAAAATAGGAGACGAAACTAGTTATTTCTATATATTATAATAAACAAAACGATTTTTGTTATTAATTTAATTATATACACAAACCAAACTAGTTTATATACAAATACTTTTTATATCTAACAAAGATTTTAGTATAGTCGGACTACGCTGCTCTATTGGGAGCCTGCTTTATTTATTATTGTTAGTCATCATTATAATACCAAATTTTCACACAACAAATAATATCTTTTTTAATTATCACAATCAATTTAACAGCAGTTGAATAATAAAAACATAAATATTTAAGAAAATAATATATATATTCAAATGTACATAATAAAAATTTGATAAGAGTAAAGAAGAATTATTATTTTAAATACACATTTAAAAAGAATTGAAATATAAGAGAGATAGATAAATCGATAGATTTTCACGATGTCCTTTATTTATATGAACTACAAATATATACAAACAATGTATCGGTTTATCGGTTTATAAATTGATAGATTTTCACGATGGCCTTTATTTATATGAACTACAAATATAAACAAACAATGTATCGATTTATTGATATCCCTTTTTGCACGAGTACTGATCTCTAAGTTTTTGAGATAGACGAACTTGAGAAAGACTCTTTAAAATTTGTCATCATCTATTGTTCTATTGATATCTCGCTTTTTACACGAATGTTGATCATTAAGTATTTGATACCCATTTTTTGGAAAAGAGTTTAAAAATTTGTCTTAAAGAACTACTCAGTATTGATTTTTTTTTTATTATTAATTAACCAGTTTACCATTGTCATTATTATTTCAGACAATTATTTTATCGATCGAATATGATTTCAGCACATTTGTATGTAGGGTAGTTAAGCTTCAGCAACTCCAAACCTTACTTTTTTACTGGTTTTACTTTATAAACTACGAAGCGATAAATAAATGTTGTTTAAACTGCCTCATACCATCAAAGATCATCAATATTCTTGAATCTCCCTACTAAATTAAAAAACAAAAACAATATCTGATTATAAAAATGTGAGTCATTCAGTGATAGTTGTGGAATAAATAAAAACAATATTGGGGGAATTCTTTATAGAACCAACTTTTATCAATTGTCAAAATTTAATGGTTTTCATTGATTTTGATCGAAGAGTTTACTGAAAGTACTCTGATGACATACATTCATATGATGTCATTTTATGTGTTTTAGATAATGTGATGAGTTCATTAATTTGTTATGTTTTAAAGGTCAAAATGTTTTGAAATCTATAATATATTATCAGTAAATTTTAATACCTTTTGATTTGCAACATTTATTAGAAGAAAAAAGAAAACAGAATTTCATATGTAATGAAAACTAATCGCACGAGACTCATACATTCACATAAAAACTACTTAAGATTAATAATATACATGAACTTATTAAGATATGGTTTAAGATAATATTAAATAACGAGTTCCCAACATTTCTTTAAATATTATTTTAAGTTTTTAAAAATAATTATGTATATATACATGCACACAAATAATATTGTATACATATATATGGTATATATTTTTAGATTAATTAATATAATTATGAATGTTGCGAAAAAAAAAATGGAGATAACAGCAAAAGGTTATATATTTCAGTGTATGTAGAAGTGGTTTAACATAACGGAAAATTGAAAAATTTTAGAAAAGAAATCGCTTAAGAGTTATAATCTCACATCCTGTGTTCAAGAATTTAATATCTAGAACTAGTCTAGGAAGCAATTAACAATCAGGAGATGAATTAGAAGAATTAATGATTGAAAGGCGCCATGTTAATATATTATCGATACTAATACATACAAGTACTTTTCAAACCTAATTTAGTGCGATTCATAGAAACTTCCAATTTATCTTATGATTTTGATGACGGCATAATCTTTGATTATTTATGCTCAATACACTAAGCTTATATATAATAGAGATATTGAGACTAGTGAAACAAGAAGTTTGTCGCTTATAAGTTTTCAAGCTAAGTTCACTCTATAGATTTTATAATGTGCCAATATTGTTGGCAACAGTTAAAATTTTATCGTGATAAATGTCTCTGTTCCAGCTTACCCAGTAACAAGTTAACAACTGTAAAAAAGTATTCAGCTGCGTCAAAGACTGGTATATTTAGTATATAGAATATATACTAGAGAGAAAGAGATGAAATACAATAAAAGTATTTGCATAGAAAAGGACAAGTTACGCAAAAAAAAACAATAAAATAATTTTATAATCATTTAATCCAATAATATAGAGAACGAAGAATAAAAAGTTGGTTTCAAGATTAGCCGAATCTAGTCGTTCCACTCGTTTAGTCTGACGACAAAATGCCGTTCAGTACTTCCAAAAATAACTGCACAAGCAGCTCGCCAACCTGTTTTCCGCTGCCTCAAGTCACACATAAACTTAAATCCAAACAATATTTGTATGCATCTTATAGAATTGGCTGGGTTGCTCCGCTTACCAATTCCAATCCATTCCTCCTCCTAAATAATCACCCCTCATCTTACACTACCATTAGCTACCTTCAATGAAGGGCTTAAAATATTGCCACAGTAGGCATACCTGTCGTATGAGGCGACTAAAATCCCGGCGCTAAGCCGACATTTGTGCAAAAAGTGTATATGGTAGATGTTGTCCCAGCCTGCAACACTCGACCAGACGTGTAAATCTGGTACTACGGGAATCAGTGGCCCGCAGATTCGGCTGTGTTAGATAGTTGAACTTGGATTCGTAGTGGTTGTGGTTAATACCTAAACTTACGCGGAAAGAATGATCAAGTATTTGTTTATCATTCATTTGACGTTGAATTGCGTGTTCATCACCGGGTGCTGTGACTTAAAGATCAGCACAGGTTGTAGATACTCCTCACATCAAACCACGGTGGAAATTATGTTTTGCACAAATTTCTTCATAGGCACCGGCGAAAATGTCTACGGCGCATAACCAGTTATCTTTTCAGATATAGTATTTCAAAAAATATATTATTTCATAAAAATAATATAATAATTAATAATGATCACAACATTAAAAGATCTTTAATTCGAAATTTATTTTGATGCACTTTCAAAAATCAACTACTCTCATATGGCACCCTGTATTTTTATGGTTAAAGTTTTGCATAAGCTGATACGTAGCAATAAACAAAGCGGAGGTTGAGTCAACCAACTTTAATGTTACAAAACCAGAGTAACAATTACAACAATAACGAAACAGTCAAGTTTTGAATAAATGAAGCGTTAATAAATAACAAAAATAATTAAATTTTACTTCACACTTTCAAAAAATAACTGAAATTAAACATTTTAAGTTTTTTTTTATATCTCTAAAGAAAAATGTTGAAATTGCACTTTTAAAAAACGCTGTAAGGGGAAAGAAAATAGTTTAGCAGAAAAATTTCATTTTATACAAACAAAAAATATTTATTATAAAAAAAAAACACCATATACTATATACATAAATGTATGTATATTTAATAATAATAAAAACAAATCTTTATAATAAATATATCCAAGAGGGAATATTTAAGTGAACACAGTCATAACGGCAGAGGGGAACAAAGATTTAACCGACTGTCTGACTGGTTAAAAAGGAGTGCCGCTCATGTTGGAACCGCATTTAAACGTATTCATAAGTTTTAATAACCACAAACTTAATCGCTTCTACTTTTGCCTTAAACGTACACTTCACTCCACTCTACTTCACTATTTGTATTTTTATGAGATGACGTCACTTAAAGAAAAGCCAAACACAAACATAACAAAGCAGAGAACGGCAAAGCTGAGCACACAGCACAGCACAGCACAGCACAGTTGCCACTTATATTTTTCTTATTTGTTTTTATTGTGTTCCTTTCTTTTCCTTTTCTTTTTTTGCGGTTTCGCTTTAAATTCGCGCGCGCATAGCAAGTGACTAAATCGCTGGCTAGCTCAACTGACAAACTGGCTGACTATTCTACTGGTTTGATTTGCTTTGCTTAATGTATACGTATGCAACAGTACATTGCGTTCCATCCCGTTCCGTCATCTGCTACGAAGACCAAATGTCTGTCTGTGTCGTGTGAGTTGTTTTTATGTGTATTTTTTTATTTGGGTGCTTGTCATTGTGGTATAGTGTATTGTGGTATTGCTTTCGTTAAATTCGTTGGTTGGTTGGTCTTTGGTTGTTTATCGTAGCAAACGGCAGGCAGGCAGCAGTGACGTAATTTGTTATTTTCTGTTTCTGTTTGTAATGTTTGCTTGAGAGGGTAGTTTTCATAGTTTCGACTGCGTAGCGCTGGAGAATGTTTAAACAATAATTGAAAAATTTACAGTACATAAATTTATAAATAAACTTTATATAATCACTAAGACAATTTATATAAAAATCGATTATATAAAGTTAAATGAAATCGATTGTTTGTAAGTTTGATTTAAAATTTATTATGTAGAAGGGGATGAAATAAACAATCCAAGTTAAATTTTCTTTCGTAGATTGGAGATGAAATTTTTTAAAGAATTGTTCTAAAATATAAAGTTTAAAATTAAGTATCACTTTGACAATGTATCGCCAGAACAGTATTTTAGTATTTCACAGTCAAATTATTAATAAAATTGTAATTCTAAAGTGTCTTAATATCAGTTACACAGCTTAAATAATGGATAGATAATAACCATTAGTACATGCTTGTATCCACAAATTTGTTACTAGGACGACTCTGAAACTTTTTGAAGTAATCTACCAGATTTCTTTTTTTTTGATAAAAGCACAATCTGTTCATCTCGATATACTGCTACATCCGTTTGAATGATACTTGGTTTTCATGAATGATACTCAGTTTAACATGGCCAATTACATTCCCTGACAGTTTTTTTTTTTTTACAAGAAAAAATTATTTGTCAAAGTTATTTGTTGGAATAAGCAGACTGGCTTAAATCGTTGGAAGATAAATACTTCATTGCAAGAAAATAAGGTCAGTCACTATACTTCAACCATCTCAAAACATTGGTCTCTCTTCTAACTAGTTGCCTGTTTAGGCATAGATATTAATAGTTTTAAAGACAGTAGTGAAAAGTAAGACTTTAAATTCAGAACATATGTATCAATTCAATTATATACATTATATAAAAAGAGATCGCTGTGAGCTGCACTGTCACGGGTTATAAGAGATATGTGGTACTTCTATTTTACCACTTTATTATTGATTAAGACACTTTTAAATATATTGTGTAAATATTTATTATTTTACAAGCATATATGGTTTAGCAAGTATTTATGCGTTTTTTTGGGCTAGTTAATGTGTTCGCCACAGATATAGTAGATTAAAAATAATAAGAAATTTATTCATAATTCAAAATTTGTGTCAACTGATATAATATGTAAGCAACTGCTAACTATAGGTGTTAACTTCGTGAAGGATAAAATTTTAGTTATTATTAAAATGTAATTTATTAACTTTGAACTGAGGATAGTAAACAGTGAAATTTAAGTATATATATAACACAATACAGTAGATAGTTAATATTAAGTATATTAAAATTGGAATCTTTGATGCAGAAACATACTTTTTTATTTTGGAGGTGAAAGCTTAGAAGAAGAATATCATTTATTATTAAAATAATGTTTGTTTCCAATTTTTATTTGAGACAAATATATTTTAGATATCAGAATTTAAAGAATCTTTGTAGCAGAAATATGCTTTTTTGGAGCTCGAAATTTAGAATAAGAATATCTTTTATTATTAAAATTGTGTGTTCGTTTCAAATTGTATTTGAGACGAATAATGTATTTCAGATATCAGAATTGTAACGAAAGGGACTTCGAGTTGGCAGCCCCTGTTATAAAATCTTTACATTCCTGGATATAAAAACTATATTATGAAAATTGAAAAAAAAAAAAACTTTAAGTGAAAATAACTAAGTCTCATATCCATTAATCAGTAGCAAGTAATTTAAATGACATATATCATATAAAAAAGTATATATATACATATAAAAAATTTTCACCGAGATAAAAATTTGTACACGAAAATTGTGCTCTTCCAGAGGGAAAGAAAACTGTTGCTATAAGCAGGCAGCATATTATAGTACTCCAGCTGAGATACCGTGTCTTTTCTTCTGTTTGCTGTGTATACTTTTAAAAATCAACAAATAATTTGTCACTAAATTTTAACACGTTTTGGCATCAATCTTAAATTAATATGGTTTTTTTCTTTATTTGTTTATTAATTTGAAACACTAATTTTCGTTCAAATTTTTTCAGCACATTGAAAAATAAATTTGCTATATTAGCAATTTTTTTATTGTAAATTATATTTTTATCATTAAGTAACTTTTTAATATACACTTTCGATTTGTTGCGGACCTTTATGGTATTTTATTAAATTCATTTAATAAAATAATTCATTTACAAATTTAACGATACCGAAAAATAATAGCGGTCAATACGAGCACACGAATACAAATTTCGTATGAAGAACTAAAGTAGAAGGAAAATAGAAAGAACTTCACTTCTGATGACATCACTAATTTTTATTATTGTTGTTGGTTTTTGTAAACAAACTGTCAAACATTACTAATAAGCCGATATGAGTGGAAAAGAGAAAAGTAGTGTTATTAAAACCCATCACAAGTCGGGCAATTAAATGACGTTATAAAAAAGTACTTCCTTTTCGCTATTTTAATAATTATTTATTTCATAATTAACTTTAGTAGATTAATATTACAAAATAATACTATACACACTTTTTTAATCCGTTTATATGAAATGTAGTTCACAAAATATTAATTTATTTTTTATTTATTTGTAGAAATATTAAAAATTTGCAGAGCAGCAACAAATAAGATTTTTCTATTGCACAGAGTCTTTCCATATTGTACCAAATTTTCGCAAAAGCATATTTCAATACATTTCACTATTCTCTGCTTGTGAAAAAGTGTGCATGTGGGAAAGAGATGTCAATTGTGAGCAACAGAAATGTGTAGTAGTTTGGTCTTTGAGACAAATTCACCACGAATGACAGGGTTGTATAAATTATATTCTTGTTACATATAATTTTTATGTTTACAATATTTGAAATTAATGAAACACATAAATATTATTGTATTATAATACAATAATAGTTTGTGTCACTTTTATTACAATGTAAATGAAGCTTTTATTGTAAAAATTAATTAAGTATAATGTGTGGGTTTATATTTATCTATATATTTCGAAGCAATACCACAAATATATTCCATTATGATTATTAAATTTTTACAGAAATTATTTTCTATATTCAATAAATTTTAAGTTTTATTATTATAAATAATATTAAATGATATACACATTTTTGTTTCAAACTCACATAATCTATATAGAAATATTTTTTTATTTAGTGAAATAATATTATTTAATGAATGAAAATTTTATTGCATTTTTTTGTTTTATATTTTACTTGGAATTATTGGTTGAAAGGTAGAACTAAGTATTTCGTTATTAAAATTAACATACATTAAGACTGAAAAGTTTTCGGAAATTCTCATTTAAAATTCGCGCGCTGTATATTTTTCGATATTTTAAGTTTATGTAGTTTGGCAGCCCTGTCCTTAATTACTATGCCAAAAATGAGCGCGATCTGTCAGACAGTTCGTTTACGGCAGCTGTTGAAACCAGTTCACCTCAGTAGTGCGTTGCGAAATGTCTTCGACGGTCGTACGACCGTCCTG